TTCCCTTATAACCTCCTTGCAGGCCAGTAAGGAAATGAGTATCTTCTAAGCTTAGCCTCTTCAAGCTGTACTGGTATTAGGGCTTCTAACCGGCCCAAGTCGTGATGTTTCCCTTATAACCTCTTTGTAGGCCAGTGAAGGAAATGAGTATCTTTTGAGCTTAGCCTCTCCGGTCTGGACTGGTATTAGAGCTTCTAGTTGGTATAAGTCGTGATGTTTCCCTTATAACCTCTTTACAGGCTAGTGAAGGAAATGAGTATCTTCTGATTTCAACCTCTTTAAGTTGGACTGGTATTAGGGCTTCCAGCCGTCCCAAGTCGTGATGTCTAATGGTTGATTCGAGTCGATGATTTGTTGAGAAATTCCCTTGTGTTGGTAGGCGAAGGAGTTTTCTATAGGATCGTAATCTTGTGATCCTAATTTTTCTACGTTTGAAGAATTTGGTGGTGTCCTCGTCTGTTTGCTTGATTTGTAATGAAGGATGCCCTAGGGATGACGGGCAGAAGATGCTTCGTGTACCCCTAGTTTGGGCTTGTCTCTACTGATTGAATTTGAAGGTTAGCAAGAACTTTGTGTTTTTCCTAGCGTGTGAGTATTATGATGCCTCTCTAGGCATCTTTATTAGGGATGGATGACAACAATTTTAGTGTTGCTCCTGCCATGTGAGTATAGTAATGCCTCTCCAAGCATCTGTTGGGGAATGAATGGCAGGAATTTTAGTGTTTTTCCTGCCTTGTGAGGATTGTGATGCCTTTCCAGGTGTCTCATTGTGGATGAGTGAATGATTGGTAGAAAAATCTGTGTTATGCTTGACGGGTGAATATTGTGATGCCTCTTCAAGTGTCTTTGTTCAGGATGGAGGGATGGCAAGGACTCTGGTGTTGTTTCTGCCATGTGAGCATTATGATGTCTCTCCAAGCGTGAGCTTTGTTAATGGGATTCTTTTGGAGTTCGAGTATTGTTTAAGCTGAAGAGCCTTTTTAGGCTTCATATGTGTTGTTGGAATAGGCTACTCTTTAGCTAGATCTTTGTTTCGGAGGGTCTCTGACTACCTAATGATCAGTCTGGTTTGATTGGGGATCTTTGATATGAGCATTTTTCCCCTCTTTTTGGATCTTGGGTGTCTGGTAACCCACATGGCTATTGGTTCTTTTCTTGGCTCTCAGTCAGTTTTTCTTAGGGAGAAGGTGGTGGCTTTGTTTTTGGATAAGAGAGGTATGACGATTCTATCCTTTATTTGGATCTTCAATATCCAGTGGCTATTAAGTTGGGTTTTTTGTTGGTGGGTTTTTGAAACTTTATTTTCTTAACTTCGACTTTTTCAACATGTTTTATTTATTTATTTTTTTGCAGAAACATAAGCTTTAATTTTTGAACTGCAGTTTGCCTCCAATGCTTGAATTATGAGTGTTTGAAGTATTTGTGAAGACTAGCCAATAAATCACCAAGTGTGAAAGCTTCCACAAATCTTCCTTAGTTTCCTTTTGATGGCCCTCGTAGTTCTAGCTTCTATTACAAATGGTTAGTTCACACATTGTTCCTCATTTAGAGTTCCAAAGATGAAGTATAACACTTTAAAAGAATTTGTAAAGAATTGATCAACTGAAAGAGGCCAATCAAATAGACAAACTAGAATTAAAAGGTGTACAAGGATAGCAAGCAATCAAAAGAATTTCCTATGATTGGTTCTAGATTAGATGAGCAAAACTGAAATTGACTCAAATGCAAATCAATACAATAGTTGCTCAAATTTTCCAGCCACCAATCACTCAAACTGAATGCTACAATTCAAAACTCCTTTTGGCTTTTTCTTGTATATAACTTTTTTATATATATATATAGATTGTTCATTGAAAATTTCTTTTATTTTCTTTTTTTTAATCACTTTTGTAAATCAATAGGAGTTTCCTTTTTTCTTTTGAATTTCAAATAGCATTCTCGACCATGTGAGCTAAACTAGGCACGCCGAATTTACATTTCAAATTTGAATTCTAAATGTAATGCAAATTGTCTTAAAATGACATAACATTTGTCATGCTTTTCTTGTTTCAATAATTTCAAACAATGCGCCACGGTTTAGTTCAATGAATTTCCCGATTTGAGATTCAAATTTGAGTTGAACTTTCCAGAAACTATCAACACATTATGAAAACAAAGGAATTTCAAAATTTAAGAAAATTTTGAAGACAAAATGACATAATGAAAACCTAACTCTACAAGAGAATTACTAATAATCTAATAGTAATTCATGAACTCAAATTATTCAAAATCAAATGCACCAAAGCTCAATTTCAATTAGTTAAAACAAAATTCATATCAATCATCAAACAAATTTCGAATCAACAAGCATAGCTAAGAAGTATTGGACATGTAAAAGACTATACATGACTCTAAAGACAAAACCAGATGGATTCAAAAATCAAAGACTCAAATATAGCATATGACCGAATAAAATTCAAAATCAAGAAGACTCAATCAAACACAAAACACACAAGCACATGAAACCTGAGACACTTTTTAAATCATGATTCATATGAAGCAAAGTATGAATCAATTTGAATTTTTCGGAAAAAGAAACTAGATCTATCAATTTGATGAAGCAAAAATTAGATCTAGGTAGCAAAATACTCAAGACATGTAAAACAATTGATTTAGACAAAGAAGATAGATTCACTAAAAAGAATTAGTGAACTTATCTTGCAAGAACCGAGCTCGTGATACCACTTGATGGAGCCTTGGTGTGCTTAGACTCCATGAAAAATCTGAGACACTTCTTGAAATTCCCTCAAGGATAAAATTAGGTCAAGAAGGAGTAATGAAGAACAAGGTGATCCAAGCTTCTCAAGTAGAAGAAGCTTAAGCCTAGAACTACAAAGAGGAAAGCTCAAGGTGAGGTGGAAAAGGAATTCTCCTTGGTGACTCCGGCTAGAGAGAATTTAGATCTCAATGAAGATGAAATTCTCATTCAATATCCAAAGTGATTCGAAATACACAGCAAAGGAGATTTATAGGATAAGGAAAAATACTAGAGAAGCTAAGCTAACCTAAGGTTTAAATTATACCATGGTATGGTTAATCTAAACCTTAGGTGCCAAATTTGAATTTCAAAATTCAAATTTGGTGCTAAGCCTCCTAGAAACCCGGAAATCCCATGTGCTACTCTCATTTGAATGTGATTTAGTTTTCATTTAGGAGTGAATTTCGGTCACACCATGTGAGTGAGGCACATGGGTCCAAATTCACCCTAAATGTAAGACTAAATTACATTTAAATGTAGATGCACATGCAATTACCTTATCCTAATCATCTCAAATTCGAAAATACACGAACAAGTAAAAATCCTACACTACTTGATCCAAAATACAAGATCCAAAATATTTACAAGCCTTCTTGGCCCAATCCTATTCTACATGGACTTTCAATGTATAGCTCAACTAAAGAGCATTATGAGCTTTTCTTGAACATTAGTCTATTCCTTGTCTAACTTCTTGACCATAACCCTAGTAACTGGACTCTTGGCCCATAAACCTCCATCAAACCCTTCCAAATTGCATTTGAAGAAGTTTAGAAAAACTTTTAAAAAAATATATTAGATTAAAATTTCGTACTAAAATAGTCTCATCAAACTCCAATCCAATACACCACTTTTATAATTATGCTTTGTCACGAAAATGCCAAATCATAATAAAATGCACAATGCCCAGGATGTCGAGAGCCCAGTCTCTCCCTTTCCCCAAAACGTACTGTTCCAATTCTCCTGGCCTCCTAACCATAATTATTTCGTTTCCCCCCTTTTTATATAACAATTATCATACACTAATACTACTGGACCCAAATAAATACACACAACAGAATTGGGCCTATTAAAATTGGGCTTTTTGCTTGTTCTTCTACTGTATACATTCTTAATTGGAGGTCTAACAATAATAGCTTTTTCTTCTTATTCTCACCACTTTTCAAGCAATACATATAATATAGATTTATGCACCGATTTCATCCAGTTTTGATGTCATTTAAACCTTTCTCATTTGTAACAAAGATACTTAAAATAAATAAGAACAGAATGACTTAATTTTAAGGAATAAAAGATTTCAGCCATTTGACCTACAATTGTGCTATCTCACTTTGTTACCAATTAAATTTCCTAACCCATGATTCACAATTTCATAACGGAAACCGGGTTGGTGCAGTGGTAGGCTATCAATGTGGTGCTTCACTGAAAATCGTGTAAAAAACTTTGTATTCATCAATATTTATGCAGCTTTTGGTAAGCAATTGCTCGTCATCTATCTCATTCTCCGTCATATTACGTCATTGAGGGGGGATATGCTCTTACGTTAGGACTTTGTATGTAATCTTAAAAAAAAATTTAATTGCAGTGACACACCCTTTATAGATTATCACTAAAAATTATTTTATTTATATTATAAATATATTATATATTGATATATTAATAAAAAAATATAAATATATATAAAATATAATGACACATGATATATGTTATTAAATTCTACTCAAAATTAATATTAAAATTATGTAAAGGTATTTAACAAATAAATTTATATTTACATATACTAATTTATAATATATTTTGTATGTAATATTTTTAAAATAAAGAAGAGCCGTGACTAAAATGAAATGACTGTACATTTCACGATTTCGACCGATAAAAAAAATACTTTAATATATAGTTTCATTTTATTTCTTATTTTTAATTAAAAATTTAGATTAGAACAAACTTATTAATTTCATCTATTTTTGTTGCGAACAATATATTTTTATTCTGTAGTACCATATGGGCCATTAAACATATTTATATATACATAAATTAAATTTGATTTATTTTACTACGATTTTAAATTTGAGTTATGTCAATAAAAAATATTATTTTTATTAAATTTGATCAATCTTAAAAAAATTAGTTATTAACGGAGATACTTCACGTCAGTTGTGTTGCTATCATATCTCAAACTATAAAAAATAAAAATAAAAATGGTCTACAAACAAAAATTACTTCATTTATTTTTATTTTGTATACTTTTCCTCCAGAAGTACTAATTCAGAAAATTATCTAAATATAAAGTTTACAAGGAGGAAGTGGTGGCCCACACAATCCACGATTACCGACAAAAGCTGATATTGGGAACATAGCCTTATGTGGAGGGATCCTCCCTCTGAGTTGGTTCCTTGACACATCGAACTCTTCAAGCCTCTTCAAATTTAGGACCTTCCCCGGTATGTTGCCACTTAACTTGTTCTTTGAAAGGTTAATCTTTCTTAACGTGTCAACAACACCAAGTTCTTCAGGTATATTCCCTGTGATCTCACTATCCTCAAGGTCCAGAATCTCCAATCCTCTCAGTTTCCCAATTGACTTTGGCACAGATCCTCCCAATGGGTTGTGTGACAATACAAGGACTCTGATTGAACTCATTGAGGCCTTTTCTCCCATGTTCTCATCGATGGGACCACTAAACTTGTTGTTGGATAGGTCAATGGAGTTGAAATGCCCTAGTGAAAATTGAACCTCTTTCTCAAATATAACTTCGAGAGAGCCAGTGAGCTTATTGGAGTGGAGGTCAAGGTCCATCAGAGAAGAAAGGTTCTTGAATGCTACTGGGAGTGATGAATGAAACTCGTTATTTGACAAGTTGAGGAAGGCAAGGTGAGTCATGTTTCCAATCCACCAAGGCAATTTCCCCGTTAATGCATTGCTTGACAAATCAAGGGTTGCCAATGATGACGATGATAGCCACTTTGGGAGTTCACCTTTAATCCCTGTCTTAGCCAATTTCAACTGAAAAACTCTCAATTTGGAAAACCACTCGGGGAATTTTCCTAGTCCTAGTGGGTTGAATGACAAGTCTAGGGTTTGCAAACTCTGAAGTTTAGTAAGTTGAGGTGGAAGTGCACCACGAAGTTGGTTCCTAGACAAATCCAATGTTTCCAGGTTGATTAAATTGCCAAAGGAAGGTGGAATTTCACCACTGAATCTATTGTTTGCAAGAAATAAATCAGTTAAGCTGGTCAAATGGCCAATGGTAGCAGGTAACTTCCCAGTAATTTTATTATTCTCGAGAATTAGCCTTTGCACATTCTTGAGGTTACCAATGGAATAAGGCAAAATTCCTGTGAGAATGTTCTCTGATAACCTCAAAAATTTCAAGGAACTTAAATCCCCAATAGAAAAAGGGAGGCTTCCTGTGACATTATTATACATCAGATCTAGTATAACCAATTTTGAAAGACCCCCAATTGACTCAGGAATCCTTCCACTAATCTTATTATAAGATAAATCCAATGTCTTGAGATTTACAAGCTTGCCAATGCTAGAAGGAACATTGCCATGGAAATTGTTTTGATGAAAATCAAGCCTAGTGAGAAACACCATGCTTCCAATGGAAGAAGGAATCCTCCCAGAAAGCTTGTTCCCAGATAGACCAAGTTCCGAAAGAGACTTCAACGAGGCAAAGACAGAAGAAGGAACATTACCAGATAAGCGATTGTTGTCAAGGTACAAACTCTCAAGATGGGAAAGCCTTTCGAATGATGCTGGTATGCCACCTGTGAACATGTTTGAATGGAGAAAAAGTTTCCTTAAGTGTGATAACTTGGCCAGCTCAGAAGGTATTGGACCATGCAACTTGTTAAGGTCACTAAGGTCCAAAACTTGCAAACTAGACAAGTTTCCGAGGTAAGGTGATAACGTTCCTGACATGTATGTCTCTGTGGGGATGTCAGCGTCGTACACTAGGCCGTTACGCGTGAGGTTTGTGACCCTGCCGGTGGAACCACATGCGATGCCTTCCCAATGGTGGCAACAGTCAGAGGAGGGTGTCCAAGAATGTAGCAGCTTCCAAGGGGCAGAGGTGATTCTTCTCTTGAATTCTAGTAATGCTTCTTGGTCCACCACGTGACATGGCTCCGAAATTGAGGTGAGAGATGAGAAAATGAGAAGGAACAACAAGGTGAAGGCTTCGCTCAGTGTGTGTGCAGCCATTTGGAGATGTTTTAGAATTAAGAATTGGTGGTGCTTGCTAAGGGAACTTTGCCTTTGATTTAAAGTGTTGGTTAATTGGTTTGTGTGGGGCTTGCAGTGTGAATTATGAACAGCTGTAGCAAAACTTTACAGTCTGTTTATGGACATTTCTTTCTTCTTCTTATCTGTTTTTAACGTTCAGAGGCTAATTCTAGTATTATAATAGTTATTAATCATTAATAATTTTTTACATATGTACCACTACAATTTTTTTTATTACATTTGATTTTTATATGAATTTTGTATAAAAATATATAAAAGATACTGTTCTCACGTTATCTCAGTAATTTTTTCATGAATAATATATTTTTATAAATTTTAAAATTTACAAGAAATCGTAAAAAAAATTTCTTACAAAAAAAAATCAAAGAGATTACTATAAAAAAATTTCTTATAAATTCATTATTTGTAAGTAATTTTTTTGCGAATTTAAAATCTATAAGTAATTTTTGTGCAATTTTTTATTTTGCTAAATTTCTTGTCAATTTCAAACTCACAAGAAATTTTGTCATAACTGTGAGTGTTAAATCAACATTGATAATTCTACTGTCATTGTCTTTTAAAAGTTCACAATGAATTCATTTGATTCTAATTCTACTGTCATTGATAAGGTAAGTGTTATTTCACTAATATACACTTTATTTGTCTTATTTCTAATAAATTCATTTGATTCTAATTCTACTGTCATTGATAAGGTAAGTGTTATTTCACTAATATACACTTTATTTGTCTTATTTCTAATAGATGTAGGAATTGAGATTTTCCTTAAATATTAATTAAATGATGTCTTTAGAAAAAAAATATCAATTCATTATAATGAACTACAAAATTATATTATTATAAGAGAAATTCTGTGGTACCCTAGTATATTTATTGGGCTTTGGAACCTTTTTTTTCCTTGAACATTTGAACATTGATTTAGAATTATTTATTTTTTAACATATTTATATTTTTAGGGTTTAAAATTATTTATTTTTTAACATGTTTATATTTTCATTTCAATATATGTTTTCTTAAATTTCTTAATATATATATATATATATATATATATATAATGTTTGAATTTAGTAAGAATGTTTTTAATATATTACAAGTCATGATAAATTGAATTTTTTTTACACTTATGTATAAGTTATAAGGAGCAAATTGAATAAAAAATTTACAAAATTTTTCTCAACTTCAACAACTAAAATCTTATTGTGTTCTTCTCAAAGTTATTTTTATTTCTACAAAATGATTTAAAATACTTGGACCAATATTTGACACAAAGAAATAAAAATTTAATTATTTAGATCATTTGTTACACATCACTTAGTGTAGAAGAAAAAAAAAATGAAAGTCAAAAGAAAAAAAAACTCCACATTTAAATTATTTTATTAATTTAAAAAATTAATTGTACCAAAACATCCCAATTTATAAAGGGTATTGTAGTAACTCATTTATTATTAATTATATTAAGTCTTAAATATTCAATATTCTCAAAAAAGAATATTTAATTTTTATTAAATAATTTTATTTTGAAAACTATGATTAAATCAAAACTCATTATCATTAATTTATGTATTTAATTAAAATAAATTTTTAATTTACTAATATTTTAAATTAAAATTAATTTTAATGAAATATTATAAATAATTTAGTAAAATAA